GGAAAAATAGTGCCCATGAGTACTGGACAGAAAGACAATGACAAACAGCTAATAACATAAGCAAGGTTGCCTGGTCACAGCAATAAGTGGAAAAGTGAAAATTAAATAGGTATGCAATATTTTTGCCATCAGAATGGCAAAAATGACAGTATTGCTCATTTCTAATGATGATGTAGGAAACTGGTTACCCTCATCTAGTGTTGACAAGAGTGTTGATAAAAAATGTTCTGGGGAGCATTGTTGGCAGCATCATGCAAAATCTGGGATGCTTATATTCAGCGGTGGAGTAATTGCACTTCTAGAAAACAATGGTACACTAAGACACACCCTCCTTCTCAAAGATATGTGAAGGTTACCATTCACGGCTACATTCTGTCATAGCAACAGCAAACATCAAAAACGGCTTGAGGGATTTCCCTAGTTATCCAGTGATTAAGACTCTGAGCTTCCAATGCAGGGGAGGCAAATTCAATCCCTGGTTAAGGAACTAAGATCCCACAGGCCTCAGGACAATAAGCCAGCCGGCCACAATCAGAGAAACCTGCATGCTACAACTAAGACTCAAGGCAGCCAAATAAATATTTTAAAAATTAAAAAAAAAGCAACTCGAAGGTACAGTGAAGAGGAAGATATAAGTAAATTAAGGAACATGTATTTTGTGGACTAGAATTCTGTCATTAAAATGAATGGGGCACTTGCTTATGATGTGAAAACATGCCCAAGACATGTCAAGGCTTCAGGATGGGGAAGGTGCAGAAAGACACGTATGGCATGAATTTACACACACAGTTTTGGCATTTCTCACACCCACTCTCTATGTAAATGTGCAGCAAAGGGACCAGAGAGCCCAGCCTGACCTGGGCTGGGGGTGGGGACTCAGGGGACAAAGGCAGATAAGGGAGGGGCTCACAGTTGACTGTCCTTGGCTGGAATCTTTTAGAATGAGAATGCAGTAATGCACTTGAAGGAAAAAAGCCAGGCAGCGTCAGTGATGGATTGCACGATGCAATTGTGCCTGGTGGCAGAGAAGGGATGACGTGACCCCGGGGCTGGGTCCCGCCCTGGGGCTCCAATCAGCCTCCTGATGCCGGGCCTCATTTGCCGCCCCCCATTTCAGCCCATTTCCTCTCCAGATAGCGCCCCCCCCCCCCCAGGTTATCAGCGGCTGCCTCGCGGGGAGGCCAGCCCTGCACCACACCTTTAATGCGCCGTCAGCAGGCTTATCAACCCTGCCCGGAGGGAGGCCAGCGGGAGGTCCAGGAACCAGCCGGGGCTGGTGGATCGTGACCAAGCCCCTGCCCTCGCGCAGGCCGGCGTCCTAATGGGGTGGGGGTTGGGAGCCGAACTTCCCACCACCAGCGTCTCCTCCCTCCACAGTCTTCCATGACAGTCTTCAAGCCTCAGGAGCCCTTTCTTTTTTTTTTTCTTTGATGTGGACCTTTTTTTTTTTTAAAGTCTTTATTGAATTTGTTACAAGATTGCTTCTGTTTTATGTTTTGGTTTTTTGGTCTCAAGGCATGTGGGATCTTAGCTCCCCAACCAGGGATCAAACCCGCACCCCTGCACTGGTAGGCGGAGTCTGAACCACTGGACCACCAGGGAAGTTCTCATCTGTTTCTATAGCAACAGTAAGGTCACCGGAATGGATTGCACGCCGTCCATGGGCCTGCTGCTGTGCTGGGTGGTGGATCTGCTTTTTTGCTTCTTAATCTTTCTACCCAGTAGGGAGGAAGCTCTTGAGATATTAAGTGACCAAGGTTTCCAACAAATACAAGGCAGAACCAGGATCTGAATGCAGGCCACTGAATGGACATCAGCGGGGAATGCAGGGGGTCCCAGTGGATCTCATCATCTCCCCCAAGTGCCTGGAACCCTAGCAGTGGCTCCCCTTAGCTTTATCAGCGGGAGAGGGACCCTCTCCACTGGGGGTGACTCACGTGAATGCCATTACACTTGAGCCCCGCTAACTGAGACCTGTGTCTCCCGACTTTTTGAGGGACGGAGTGAGGTGGAAAGTGCACTTCATGGGGTCAGATCCCCGCCTCGCAGGCCTCTCTGAACCCCTGAGACTCCAGGCAAAACAGCACCCAGGTGGACTGCCAGAAGAGACACAGCAGACGGGGGAGGTGGATGCAGAGAGCCTGATGGGGACACAGGTGGCAGCTGCCAATGGCTGGAGGCACCTGCAGAGTGTTTTCCACAGTGGAGTTGGGGTGGGGGTGGTCGATGGCCAAGTGGGGCTTCACCTCTGTGAGGACTCTTTCTGAGTTGAACATTGATCTTGCTGACTCAGATTCACCCAGCACATATAGCATGAGCACTGACTGGGTGCCTGGAGCTAGATCCTTGGCACGTATCATTCTGTCTAATGGTGAAAACACCGTAAGAAGACACAGAGGAGGAAACCGAGGCCCAAGGAAGTAGGTGACTTGCTCAGATTTCCATGGTTTAGACTTCCAGCCCAGACCCCCTCCACTACTCCTCAGCTGGTGACTTTGCAGGACGGCAGACCCAGCTGCTTGCAACACAACTGGCCCTGGATAAACTGTGCCGAGAACAGGCAGCTGGATGAGAAAGGACTTGAGCAAGAAAGGTATCAGAGTTCCAATCTGGATTTTCCCAGCAAATTTTCTTGAGTCAGTGTGATCTTCTCAATATTAGACTGGACCATATGAAACTGCCATTTTTGTTGGTCAAAATAATTGAATATTAGCAATTTTGGGTGGTTTATCCTAAGAGTATTTTAGGGGAAAAAAAAAATCTGGAGACAAGGGGCTAGAGGAAATGACCTTTGTCTGGCTCAGGAGGCTATGATTCGTCCCTTGAATTTAACTGCAAGTGTGATTGGCCTTGTTGAGACAATGGCTGTGACCCAATAGTTCCTACACTCACGAGAGGTGACAGACATGTGGTCTTGGATAAGTCCCTCCCCCCGTGGCTGGTGAGTCCTAACGCCGATGTGCTGTGGGCTGATGTCCTCGTTCCCTAGGAGTGGGGTTGGGGTGGGACCGGTGGTGGGCAATCTACCCACTGACACAGAACCCTCAACCCTCTCTTCCATCTTCTCTCTGAGTTCCTGGAGCCCCACAAGGATTCCTGCTCCCAGGCTCATGTGAAGGCTTGGTGGGAATTCCAGTGGGCTTCAGTCTAGGACTGTGGAGTAAGGCGGGGCTCTGGAGCTGACTCGCCTGGATTAACATCCCGGCCGGCGCCCCCATGTATAGCATTTACCCCTTTCTGCTCCATACCTCGGTTTCCCCAGCCACAGAATCTGGACAGTGCCCGTACCTGCCTCCAGGGCTGGGGGAGGGCGGCAGTGTCTGTAACGTGCCTGGGAGATGCTAGCAGTACTTGCATTATTGTCTCTGCAGGCAGCGGGCATTCATTACACACCCTGTGAGGAGCCAGAACTGGTCCAGGGGCCTGAGGCAGCCTCCCTTAGCTTTCCTCTTCACTCCACCCCGCCCTTGTCCTGGCTGCATCGTTGGTGGTCCTGGGCCCACCACAGCACTGAATCCCTGCGATAACTCTGGGGTCACAGGGGTCAGCCTGCGGCCAGCAGCTGCTCAGGCCTCCAGATCTCTCCACGCTCCCTGCTGATTGGGGGCCGAACTGGAGGCTCGAGAATCTCTGAGAAGTTGGTGTAAACACTGAGATGGACACGACAGCATCCGTAGCAAATCTGGATGAGCTGGGAAGCATCCTTCTCTCTGCTGGGGGAGCCACAGGCCTGGGGGACGGGAATTCTTCCACAAGCCTGGAAAGCATCATCTGAGCCTAGGAGGACCTGATCTAGGGACCCAGTGCTGCAGGTACCATGTGCAGATGGTAGAGTAAGGGGTAAGCCAGCTCTGAGGCCTCCTTTCCTGAAACACTGCCCCTCTGGCTCACTTACTCCTGATAATCCCCATATAGGTCTTTGTAATCACGGGACCACTGTGAACTTTGGTCTCTTCTGCAAATGGAGGATAATGCCTCCTCTTGCTTGGCCTGGAATGTTTGTGAACAGTGGACAGTGCAGTGCCCAGCACAGGGCCTAGACACAGAAAAGCACTCAGGACCAGTTAGCACCTTCCCACCTTGAGCTGTCCCCTCTCCAAAAGCCCTTTCCTAAGATGCTAAGATCCCTGGGATAGAGGCAGGCTGGTCTATGACATCTGTCAGTGGAGGAACAATGAAGACAGAATTACAGAACTCTGAAACCAAAAGGCCTCTGCCGATCTGAGCAAGCCCAGTCACAATTCCCTTAAAAAGGCTGCAGGACTTGTGGTCAGCAGGGTCAGTCGGGACCCCCATTCACCAAGTGTGCGCGCTTAGAGCAGGCTCTCAACCTCCTGAACCACAGCATCCAGGTCTTAACGTGCAGGTAATAAGGACGTCTGCTCCCCTGACCCCACATTCATAAGGTAAGATACAAAGGACTTCCCTGGCAGTCCAATGGTTAAGACTTTGCCTCCTAAAGCAAGGAGTGCAGGTTCAAGCCCTGATCAGATAGCTAAGATCCTATATGCCTCAGGGCCAAAAAACCAAAACATAAAGCTGAAACAATGTGACAAATTCAATTAAGACATTTAAAAAGATCTTTTTAAAAATGTCTTTTTTAAAAAAAAAAAAACAAAACAGATGAGGTAGGAGAAAATTTCTAATTATTTGCACTGCTTTCAGAAGCTCAAGTAGCTGAGTGTTTCCCCAAGTTAGCTGGAGGCCAGACTCACCTAGCCTGACCCCCACGCATCCTCCCTTCCCTGGTCCAGGGAGGCAGCCAGTCCGGGGTCTAGACCTAGCAACCCAGGGCTGAAGTCAGGCTCCAGCATTGCAAGTCCTAATTCAATACTAGTAGCTGTTGAGTGCGGAGAAGGCAGTGGCACCCCACTCCAGTACTCTTGCCTGGGAAATCCCATGGACGGAGAGCCTGGTAGGCTGCGGTCCACGGGGTCGAGAAGAGTCGGATACGACTGAAGTGACTTAGCAGTAGCTGTTAAGTGGGATCTGCCCGCTGTGGGCCACACCCTCCACATTTGTCCCCAGAGTATAGAGGCCCCAACTTACCTTTTCAGTCTTCCCATGGGCAGCACGTGCCAAGCACAATCCAAGTTCAAGGGATACACACAGTCAGTCACGGCCCCCGCCTGTGAGGGGAATATGACTAAAATATAGTCAAAACCTCAAAGTAACGGGAACTATTGTCTATTAAGTGCTTCCTATGTCCAAGTACTTACTACACCTTTGGAATTTGATTCTATTCCTTAAGTCTGTCCTTATGAAGTGGGTCCTATTCTTGTATCCATTTTATGGATGAGAAAACTGAGGACAAATCACCAGCTGAAGTTGGATCACAACTTGGGTCCTTCTGACACCAAAATTCTTGCTCTTGTTCATACCATTCTTCCTAAATAGCCTCCCCATTAGTCTTGTGGATTAAATCCCTACTCCAAGCACACCTTCCAGCCTCTTGTAACTCTAAAAACTGGAGCTGGTCCATTTGGTCCCTGCAAACTACTGCCTTGTCTCCTACATGTAAGCTTTTCACCACCAACGTGGAACAGTTCTGCAGGGTAGGGCTGCCTCGATTTCCCTCTGAACAGTCCTGCCAGCTTCTGACTCGGGTGTCCTCCAGGCCCCAGGTGACCCAGATCTGAGTCACAATGGTGACACAGAAGGTCAGCTTGCAGCCCTCTGGTGAGCGTCCTTCCCCTAAGGGCTGTGCCTCTTCCATTTCTGGCCTCTCGCTCCAATTCCCACTCGAAATCCATGACACCAAGTGGGGAATCCATGTCTACAGCATTGCCCTGACCTACCAGTTAGCAATCCCATAATTAATCAGTTGATTGATTAATTAATACATGAAAGAAAATAAAGAGAGGGAGGAAGGAAGAGGAAGATTCTGACCCATTAGGCCTGAGGGAACCCATCTTGACTGGTAGAAACTGCCAGGAGGTGTCTGGAACATCTGCAAACCACAAGAATGAGTGTAAGCTCCCTGAGAGCAGTCAGTTTGTTTCCTGCTATGTCCCTGGCCTAGAACAGGGCTTGGCATACAGTTAGTGCTCAGCATCTTAAATCATTGTCGTTCTTTCTGTTTGCTCTGGTCCCTCTGGCTCCTCTTCCCTCCCCATCACCCCATCTGGCTTCCCAGGGTCCCTCACACAGCCTCGTTCTTCCCACCACCCCCACACTCAGGATCTTGGCCCCATTGCCCCAGCCTCCACCTGCCTGAGAGGGTTGGAGAGTCAGGAAGTAATTGCCTAGTGAGTGATCAATACATTGGCATCTTCAGATACTTAAAACTTTGATTTCTTAGAAGTTTTAATTTTATACTGGAGTATAGCCTATTAACAGTGTTGGGATAGTCTCAGGTGGACAGTGGAGAGACTCAGCCACACATATACAGGTATCCATCCTCCCTCAAAGTCCCCTCCCATCCAGGTTGCCACATGACACAGGGTAGAGTTCCCGGTACAGTAGGTCCTTGTTGGTTATCCACTTAAAATGCAGCAGTGTCAAAAAAAAAAAAAAAAAAAACAGTTGAAGCAAAAAAAAAAAAAAAAAAAAAGCAGCAGTGTGTACAACTCAATCTCAAACTCCCTAACTATCCCTTCCCCGCGATCCTTCCCCCTCAACAACCACAAATTCGTTCAGTAATCTGAAAACATTTTGATCACTCTGATTTTGATCTCCTTTCCTTGGTCAGGACTGTTCATAAGCATCTGTTTAAAGACCTACACTTACTTTTCACTCTTTTTCTCCATACACGCCTTAAAGTAAACCGAAAACTACTTTAGATCAGCTTCTTCCTGCAGACTCTGTGGTTTCTGCAGCCCCTCCCTGCTCTCCCCTTTACCCTGTAAAATTAAGCTTCCCTTCCTTATTCTCTAGATTTGCCCATGGGCCTCCATAGTTCATGCTTCCAAACTGCAATTCCTCTGCATATTCTCAAATCAACTCACTTTCACTGTGTGTGTGTTTTTTTAAGTAAGTTGCAAATAAGAGGTGGCAAGACATGCCAAGAGGGGAAAACAAGGAGACTGGAAAATTTCCAGCTAAAAATCAGGACTGAATTTCCAGTATCTGTCTTAGGCAGGCTAGAGGGTGGGTGGGGACTGCTCGGTGTAAGAATTCTGGAGCCAGTGAGACCCCCACATTTCCGATTCATCAACTGTCCACTCACAGCATGGTCTCTTTAGGAAGTCTGGCACCTGCCCACTAGCTCATGTTCTTGATTCTGTGAAGAATCGAGAACGTGATCAAGAGGAATCCTCCTTGAGAGGAGGCAGAGAGCCCCAAGGTCATCTCAGTTCTTCCTCTTGAACTTGCAAGATCCACCCCAGACAAGTTCAAATCTGCCTTGGACACTTAACCTATTTCCTGCCTCTTGGACCTGTTGGAATGAGGTTACAGCCACAAACACTTCTGTAGTTGAGCACCTTAGATTCATGACATCTGAACTCAAGTGATGCAATTAAGGGATGTCCCCACTTCACCTTTCTCTTTCCAGGAATAATGCTTGCCTACACCATTAAAGTAAAATGAAAGCTGGCTGCCTGTCCAAGTTCTCACTGTTTTGTCACTACATCGTGTTTGTCACTTTTGCCACCCCAAGGACTTCAGCCTGCTGGGCTCCTCTGTCCATGGGATTTCCCAGGCAAGAATCCTGAAGTGGGTTGCCATTTCTTTCTCCAGGGGATCTTCCCGACCCAGGGATTGAACCCAAGTCTCCTGCATTGGCAGGCAGATGCTTTACCACTCAATCACCAGGGAAGCCCCCCATCCAAGTTCATAGCAGCATTATTCACAATAGCCAAAAGGTGGAAATCACCCAGATGTTCATCAACAGATGAACAGATAAACAAAATGTGGTGTTTATACTAGGATATTATTCAGCGTTAAAAAAGAAGGAAATTGTGACACATGGATGAAATGAGGACATTCTGCTAAGTGAAACCGGCCAATCACATAAGGACAGACACTGTATGATTCCACCATAGTAGTCAAGTTCACAGAGACAGTAAGTAGGATGACAGTTTCCAGGCACTGGAATCAGTGTCTAATGGGTCTGAGTTTAGGAAGATAAGTTCTGGAGATGGATGGTGGTGGTGGTGGTTGCACACCACCGTGAATGAACTTGATGCCACTGGTGGAACTGCATGCTCAACAATGGTTTGTTGTTGTTTAGTTGCTCAGTCGTGTCCAACTTTTTGCGTCCCATGGATTGCAGCCCGCCAGGCTTCCCTGTCCTTCACCATCTCCTAGAATTTGTTCAAATTCACATTCATTGAGTCAGTGATGCCATCCAACCATCTCATTCTCTGTTGTCCCCTTCTCCTTCTGCGTTCAATCTTTCCCAGCATCAAGGTCTATTCTAATGAGTCAGCTCTTCACATCAAGTGGCCAAAGTGTTGGAGCTTCAGCTTCAGTATCAGCCCTTCCAATGAATATTCAGGGTTGACTTCTTTTAGGATTGGGTGGTTTGATCTCCTTGCTGTTCAAAGGACTCTCAAGAGTCTTTTCCAACACCACAGTTCAAAAGCATTGGCTCTTCGACACTCAGCCTTCCTGATTGTCCAACTCTCACATCCATACATGACTACTGGAAAAACCATAGCTTTAACTGTATGGACCTTTGTTGGCAAAGTAATGTTTCTGCTTTTTAATATGCTATCTAGAAAAGCAGAGACATTACTTTGCTAACAGAGATCTGTATAGTCAAAGTCTGTAGAGTCGACAATGGTTAAGATTTAATGTTATGGATATTTTGCCACAATAGGAAAATGAAAGGAAACATAAAGTTGGCAGCCGACTTGGCACAGAGTAGACTTAAAAATTGTTTGTTGAACAAGTCTTTGTTTCAGAGTTTGGGACAGTTCTTGGAGAGTGTCAGCCCCACTGTTCACTGCTGTGTCCTTTGGGCTGACGAAGGCATGAATTGAGAAGGCCACAGTGGAAATCCTTCTTGCCCTTCTTACCTCCCACTCCACCCACCATCTTCCCTTCTCCATCCTCATCAGAAAGCAGTGGTCTACTGATTTGGTTCTGATGCCCTCTGTGGCAGGGACCTTTGAGAGTCATTTCCTTCAAGCGCTTTACCCCAGGGATCACTGTTCCAGGCAATCGATGTCTAAGTTCTTTGGTTGTTGTTGTTGTGGACCATTTTTAAGTCTTTACCACGTTTTAATTTTTTTGGTCTCAAGGCAGGTGGTATCTTAGCTCCACCACCAGGGATTGAACCTGCAAGCCCTGCATGGGTAGGTGAAGTCTTAACCACTGGAACCACCAGGGAAGTCCCGACATCTAAGTTCTGAAAGGCCGCTACGGAAGGGGGTCCCGCTAATCCCACCTGGGTCATGTATTTAATGCTCTGTGATTGATGGGACATTATTCTGTCTTTTCTGCCCTGATTTATACCTCCCACATCCACCCACCCAATTCTTTTCCCCTGAGAAGTGTGAGGGGGCCCTAAAGACAGGTGGGAGGGTGCTTCGCAGGACTGAAGGAGGGGGCGCGCGGGTAAGAATAAGACTTGGCCCCCTCTGAAATACTATCCGCCCAGACAAAACGTTATGAGGATTAATGAGGCCTTTCCTAGAGCTGGAGATGGAGAATATGCCCCAAGGGGGTCCCTTTACCAAGTCTCGGAATTCTCAGAGTCTGTGACGCCAAGGGCAGGTGGCGCTCAGGAGCCCAGGCTGAGGGGCCGCCATCTTTGAACCTCTCTCTCTGACGAGTGGGTTTCTAAGAGGCCAAGAGTGGCCTGACGATTGCGGGCCCCATGGAAACCCCGGGAAGCACTTGTGTAGCAAAAGGGCACAAATAGTGTCAAAACCCACAAATTAAGCAAGTGAATTCCATCTGGTAAGGAGAAGTAAGAAGGTCCCTGACTAAAATAATGTCAGGGTTGAAAATATTAAGAAATGATGAAATGGCCTTACTTCCTAGTATCCCTGGGATGAAACGGTGAAGTTCCATCAGTTTTCCATAGATCTTAAGGATTATGAAACACTAGTATTACTAGCGTAAGAAGACAGTAAACATGATGGATGGGCTTCCCTGGTGGCTCAGTGGTAAAGAATCCACCTGGCAATACAGGGCACATGAATTTGATCCCTGGGTTGGGAAAATCCCCTGGAGAAAGAAATGGCAACCCACTCCAGTATTACTGCCTGGGAAATCCCATAGACAGAGGAGGCTAGCAGGCTACAGTCCACGGGGTTGCAAAAGTGTTGGACACAACGTAGTGACTAAACAACAACAACGACAAACGTAGAAGACACGTAAACACACAAACAAGGTATGTGTCACCATGGCCACAGTGGCCTTATTTCCACATAAGCAATCACACTTCTCTCTTCCTGTGCTTCATGTGAGAGTGGATATAGGAATTATAACAGAGTTTCCCAAAGGATGTGCCAGACAGCCCTACAAAATCAGAGGCTTCTTAAGACAGTAATACATACTACATACTTGAAACTGTGAAAAATACTTCAAAAAAGACATCTGTTTCACTTTGTTTAATCTAGCATTTCTCCAAATTGATTTTCTACGAAAACTTTAGTCTACTAGTATCTATCATTAGGTGGAAATAGTATTTCTTGGAACATACTTAGGAAAATGCTTAAGTATATCATTCAGATACCCTTGACTCATGATTCATTGCACAGTGTTCATGCACAAAGACAGGCTGTGTTGTCCAGGCACTAGGAACACAGAAAGCGTGAGTCACAGCCCCTGTCCACCAGGCACACACTGTGGGGGAACTCCAGCATCAGGCAGCTTTGCAGGGGCTGTGTAATTCAGCAAAACACTGAACCAGAGTTGCAACAGCGGGCAGAACAGGATATGGAGATGCCCAGGAGAGGACTCCTACCCCAGGTCAGGCATCAGGGAGGGCTTCCCCTTGGACACACAGCTTGAGCGGAGCCCTAAATCAAGCAGAGGAGTTAGCCAGGCTCATGTAGGAGAAGGTTGTTCTAGAAAGAAGGAAAAGCTTATGAGGGACTTCCAAACATCAACAAAAAGTACCCAAGTAGGAATGACTGGGGCTTCCTCAGTGGCTCGGCAGTAAAGGATCAGTCTGCCAATGCAGGAGATGCAGGTTCGACCCCTGGGTCAGGAAGATCCCCTGGAGAAGGAAATGGCAACCCAGTCCAGTATTCTTGCCTGAAGAATCCCATGGACAGAGGAGCCTGGCAGGCTACAGACCCTGGGGTCACAAAGAGTCAGACTGAGTGCACAGACAAGCAAGGTGATGACTAGGGCAAAGGGTATGCCTAAAGGGACAGGGAGAGGGGAGGCTGGAGACGAAGATTGGAGAAGAGACAGGCATCTCTCATCTTAAGGCTGGTGGGCTTCATCCTAAACCATGAGGCACCACGGAGGGTCTATACGTGTGGCTGTCTTTCCTCCTGATATTGCTGGTCAAGAGGCTTAACTGCAGAAGTCTGGGGGAAGTTCAGGAGGGGCAGGAGCTGAAGAGACAGCCCCAGCACATGGGACAGGACAGACTTCAGGCAGGACCTACCACTATGGGCAAAGGCAGCATCTTTATCAGAGATGTCAGCAGCGGATGCCAGTCTCTGTGTAGTCAGGAAATTCTGTCCCTGGGGTGTGAGGCAAGGGGACGCAAGGAAGAGAGGAGATTGAGGTACAGAGATCCAGGGAAGGTTTTTTTTTTTTTTTTTTAAAGAATAAGTAGCAGTTTGGAGGTAAAAGGGGATGGTGAGAATTAGGGTACAAGTGAAAACTTGGGGCCAAGGACAAAAGTCAAAAGCTTTAGTGATGAAAACCACATTTGTCAAGATTCTTGTCAGACTTTGTCAGAACTTGGAATGAGGGTGGGAACTGAGCGGGCTGAGCTGCGAGGTGGGGGAGGGAGCTTCAGGAAAGCTAAGAACCAGGCAGGTCCTGGCGGGAGAGCTGCCTGGGTGGGTCTCACCCACCAGCCTCTCTGCCCAAAGCAACCAAACTGTTCTGGGCTAGTGCTGCCCTCTAGTGGCTGGAAATAAAAACCAAGAGACATCTGCAGGTGGGCCAACTCTCATTTCTCTTTGAAGGAATCACATACCCTCCGCCCTCACCTCTTTAGAACGTGCAGTAGTACTCCATCCAAAATTTAGCTCCCTTCAGATCAGACGCTCACATATACACACATCCCCTCTTAACTCCTGCATCTCTGCCTTAGACAATACCCAGTTTTCTCAGGGGAAACTTCTCTCCTTTCCCATCTTGCTTTCTCTTGCTTTTTCTTGAATTTCGCTTGAAGAAGTTACCTTAAATGACCCCAGTCACAATTAATGAAGGATAGCAAAGGGTCTGTATGAATGGAAGGAACACATATTAGATCTGAAGCTAAGTACATTTTTTAAAGTAGAATAATGTGCATCACAGCAAAGATCCTGCATGCCGCAACAAAGACCTGATGAAGCAGAATAAATAAATAAATATCTTTTAAAAGACTTATCATCTTCTATTTTAAAAAAAGAAGAACAATGTCCTCAATTTCTACAAAACAGCACTCATAAGTACTCAGGAGTCCCCTCAGGTGGGTAAATCGCCATCTATTTCTCCACCTTCCTCTGATTAAAAAAATCTCTGTCTCCCAAGACTTCCATGGTGGTCCAGTGGTTAGGACTCCATGCTGTGAGTACAGGGAGCATGAGGTTGAACCCTGGTTGGGGAACTAAGATCCCACATGCCTTGAGGCCAAATAATTGAAAAAATAAATAAATAAAAGACTGATAAGAATTACCAACATTAAAAACCAAATCTATGTCTCCTCAAGAACTAGCATTTAGGAGAGGAAAATGATTGCTTTATCAAATCTCTTGCTTTGTCTGGAGGATTGGAACTATTGCATTGTCTCCATAGGAACCTGTGTTACTATTTCCGAAAGAGGCCATTCGTAAGTAGGGGCTGCCCGGAGGATCGCTTCCTTAGCCTTGAGGTTGAGACAAGGTCTGCGGGGACAGGTGGAGGTGTAATGGAGACAGCAGATCCTGGCATGAGGAAGGAGAAGGCTCACCGACTGCACATCTTTTTCTCGATCTGCTTCCATGAGCCTAGCACTGGACGAAGATACCCAGAAGAGCAAAGCCAGAGCAGCTGTGAGAACCAGTTCGTCCCCTAGCAACCATGCTGTCTTCACACTCCGAGCGCAGCATCTCTCAAAACTAAAGACGAGGCTTCCCTGACAGTTCCTCGGCAGCCCCCACCAGCTGCAGCTTTGAAGGGAGACTTCCTCTGTGAAGCCAGCCCAGGCTGTGCAGTTATCATGAGGTGCCCCTGGAAACACATGAACTTGTATGATATTTGCAGCGTCCGGAACAGTTCAGCACCTCCAACTGTGGTTTCGTGCAGCAGCCAGAGCTCCTGGTCCAGGTCTCAGGGCCTCTGTCTCACTCTCTCTCCGCCTCCTGTCTCTCTCATACACACACACAGAGATCCAAGCACATTCTGACCTAAGACCTCTCCTTATTTGGGGAAAAACAGCAGCCTATGTTCTCCCACAGGCCAGGAGAGCACCAGGCCCCCTCCGGGACACTTTGCTCCGTCTGCAGAGTGACTCCCCTGAAAGTGGAGGGAAACTGATGATGTCACTCGAGCAGGAACTCTCAGAAGGACTTTCTCCTCCCTGGACCCTGGAGAGCACACGCCTACCTGAGCCAGAGAACTGGAGGATATGATGGCAAATGCGGAGGGCATCTTGAACCTGCTTTTCTGCACTGTCCTGAGAAAACATTGACTGTCCTCATGGAAGACTGGGTGCTGCTGGAGGCTGGGGCCCTCTCTGGCTCCGTGCTCAGCCCTGCCTCTCCAGCCTTCAGCCCAGCGCAGGTCTACTCTCCTCTGCTTGGCTCCTCACAGCTCTCTAGTCCCCCAGAGTGGCTATCTGGCCACCCGTCAGCTGGACAAAGCATTTGTCAGCTTTAATGGATGTATGACTCCCAGCCCTGACATGTTTTATGCATCCCCGGGGGCTTTGATCTCCTTGTCTGCGTACATAAATGAGAGGATTACTGAGCCATCCAGAACAGGGCACCAAAAATGTCTTTCACTGAGGTGCTTTTGCATCCAGCAGATAAGAGTCATAAGCCAAAATCCCGGGAACCATTAGGGCCTTGAGCTTGAGGGTAACTCAGCTCAGGAGAGATGGATCAGGGGGACTGGTCTAGGAGGCGCTCCCTGTCACAGCTCCCTGATATTGTTTATATCTGGGTGATGTGGATAAAGAAACCGGTCGCTTCTGGCACCGCCCTTCCTCCCTGAAGATTACAAGCAACTGTGGCTGACATTTGCCAAGGCGGCCTGGACTGACTCGTTGGTGGCATATGGTTACTGTCAGGGATTTCTGGATGTGGGGGCTGGGATCGGACACTGGGGTGGGGACTGGTATTTTTAGGACACTTGGAGTTCTCAACTGGATTTAGGCCAGCTCTCCATATGGTTACGGAGCAGTAGTGTCACTCCTGCCTGGCTCAACCTCCTGAGAGAGACAGAGAAGAAATGGAAGTGATTATTGCCCTCATTAGGGGCTTCCAAGGTGGTGCCAGAGGTAAAGAACCTGCCCGCCAATGCAGGGGACGTGGGTTCCATCCCTGGGTCAGAAGATCCCCTGGAGGAGGGCATGGCAAGCCACTCTAGTATTGTTTCCTGGAGAATCCCATGGACAGAGGAGCCTGGTGGGCTATAGTCCATTGGGTCACAAAGAGTCAGACGCGACTGATGCGACTTAGTGTGCATGCACATCGTCCTCACCATCTTATGTCCAATGAATGCTAAGGGCTGGTGTTTGGAGGTGGGGTTCCTTGAAAGCTAACCTGAAGTTTCAAAATAGCAGCACAGACTTGGAAACCAGCCCAGAGATGGGGGGGTGGGGTGGGGGTGGGTAGGGTGGCAGATGCCATCATGGAAGTGGGAAGGGTTTTTGTTAACCATCAGCCACTGAGGGGGTCCTGTAAGTTGCTCCAGTGAGCTAACAGCGCTGATTCCTAATTAGCTAATAAGGCTGCTGTATCTACTGACATGTTTATCACATAAGCCTATATGTC